AACACTATATATTAACTTGAGGATATTTAAAAATAAGATATAATAAATATAAGATTAGGTAAGAATAATAAAATAATTAGATTTATAAGTAGGAGCCTTACAGGGAATTTAGTTATAAAATAAAATAAGATTATAAATAAATATTTGCATGATTTTAACGTGCTAAAGATAATACTTAATAATAATTAGATATAATTAAGTAGAAGTAGATATTTATTAATTAATCTATCTAATATTTAACTAATATCGGACGATATTATCTGATGTTATCTGATATATATTAGATATCAGACAATTATCCTGCGATTACTTAAACTAAAGAAAATGTTTAAGTCTGCGAGCTGTAAACTTTAAATATAAATTATACTTTATTTTTATATATAAATATACTAAATAAAATAACTTTATAATAAGACAAAGCCCTTATAAATTTGTGGGTATTATTTTAACTATTAAAACTATAATATTTATAGATTTAAATACTATATTAAAGCTTTGTAGGAAAGCATACTATATTATTTATATATTAAATATATATTTTTATCTAACAACCATCTATTAACTAATAATTATAAAATTATAAGCAATAATAGCATACTTACTATTTAAGTAAAATATATAATTATTATATAACTGATATTAGCTTCTAAATATAATATTATATTTTATTATTTCTAATAATAAGTAAGAGAAATAAAGAATAAGTACTATTATAACTAAACATATAAATATTTAGTTATAATATAATAATTAGTTAGCTTCATAACTATCACCTGATTGTTTAAGATAGGATAAATTAGCGAGTTTTATACTAGTGCAGATATTTATATAATATCTATTAATATTGTCTGATGTCTGTTAGATATCGTATATATGATAATAATATTGGAAAAAATCCAATATTGTATCAGTTGCCGACTATGATATTGAAAAAATGTTGATGTTGTATGACCTGCCGCAGCCTAGTGCTCACCCTGTGCTCACTGAGCGGTGAGCTGTGAGTTCTGCCATACCGTACTTGATCACCTGACGCACGCCCCCACCTGACGCACGAAAATCGATTTTATACCGATATTTTGAACATCTTTAAACCTTAATATCTTCATTAATATGGCTTCTATTAATGATATAATTGCAGAAATAAACTCCCTAAAGCTTGAAGATAGACCTATACTTACTTTTATTACGAAAAAGTATAGAATTTATAGATTAATATTATTAAGAAGATTCCGCGGTGTTCAGTATTCTAAAAATAAGCAATACCAGGACTAATGATTGTTTAATAATTGATAAGCGAAAATGCTTATTTCTAATATTAATTGATTAAGCGAGAAAGGCCTTTATATATTATTTAAAATATTGTGAAATCTAGCTCACGAGATCTCCGGTAATCATCCTGGAAAATAGTGGCCGAGCCGCTTTATAAAGTGATATAATAATAAGCTTATTTCTTGTTATATAACTGGGATTGATTCCTCTCGAAAAAAGGTTGATTCTGTGTTAAATTATATGTTATATTTTAAACTTTTAACCCGTAAAATTTCGGAATATAATATACAGCAAGAAGATATCTATAATAGACTTCCGCATAACCCAACTTGGGTCGAAGATCTCGACCCAAAACCCAACCCAGCCTGGGTCCGGGTTGAACTTCTCTAACCCAGACCCAACCCGGACCCAATACTGGGGCCCCAATAAAACCTAATTTAACCTAATTTGACCCAATCTTTATATAATTTTAGTCATAAAGCTGCTCAATCATCAAAATATCATACTGTTTTTTACATCTGTTCTAGGTTATACCAACTATTACCATATATTCGTAGTATAAATCTTTTAAAAATTTATAAAATAACTTTATATCCTTTTAAGCTAGACCAAGTTTATAGTTAATTACCTATTCAAATATTAAGATTAAGTAAGTTAGGGGAGCTTAACATAGAAACTCTACATTCTAGCTAGTAGTTATAAAAATATATATTTACTACAAATCTATATATAATACTCAGTAGATCCTTCTGGGCTAAAGGATATCATTTTAAAAGCTTATTATTCTTTGCGAAAAACATTGCAAGGTAATTTAATTTAAAGGAAGAGAGTCTATTTAATCATAGAAATCTAGGCTAGGGAAAAGATAAAAGTATAAAAAAAATAATATATTTTTATTTAGTATTCTTATCGGGGGGCCGCCTCCCGGATAAAAGTTAAGATAAAAATAACTAGTTACCCCTGCGAGGTTCTTATAATAAGATAGGTTAAAATTTTTTGGGGACCTGAAAGGGAAGTTAGGGTAGGAATTAGGTTTTTTTTGGGTTCTTTAGGTTATTACTGGGTTATTGCTGGGTTTTTTGGGTTATTATTAGGTTTATTAGGTTTTTTGGGTTTTTTGGGTTCGATCTACACAAAGGTAGATCTTATAAACCAATCACATCTTATTATGTTTATACACTGCCTTTCTAAAGTTAATATATTACTTTTGCTTTAATTCACTCCCTACTTCTAAGGTTAATTTACCCCTAGAAATTATTACTTAGTAGGTATCTATCTTCTCTCTTACCTTCTTAGTTATCTACCAGGCTAATTAATTATGTTATAAAATCAGTACTCTGACTTCGCATCCTTCTTTTATAATAATAAGATAGATAATCTTAGCTATCTAATATTATTAAACTATCTAGTTACTCTATCTACCAGTCAACACATACTCAATATCTCCGACCAAGACTTTCTCCGACCAAATATTCCTCTAGCAGTCCCCTCTTTCTTTACATGCGTTAGACCCGACTAAAAAAAGGCCTTTCTTTTCTATAATAAAATAACACATAATAACTGGGTGGACTGGTGGCTCCAGACTAATTTTAGGAGAAAAAATAAAATCAACTAAAAATTAACGCGACATGCAGAGATTTAGAACCACTATCACTAAGTTACTTATAATATAGATAATATACCAAAGGTCATGTATCAATATTATAAAGCTATTCTTGAGCATCCCTATACTGTTAATCCAAAAGCAAAAGGTAAAATACAATATCATAGCATATTAATAATACAGAAGCACCTTAAGACAGCTGGGTGTTTAAAGAATAAATAAGAGAAGAGAGCGGAAATAACTGGATTTCTAAAAAGCAGCATATATTCCTTTACTTCCGCAGGTGTTTCTATAAAAACCTACTTCTAGCTATGTTTACTTTGCTAATTTATTTTATATACTAATATTAGGGAGAATCATCTGCTAATATATCTTTCTCGCAAGAAGCTTAAAAAAAAGATATTTTATAGTTCTTTATATTTAATCAGCTTCTATTTCATCTTATCGAGCATCCAACATTTCAGCGGCTTATTTCTTAGGCTTACTACACCCCATCATTACTAATAATCCCTTCTGCTAATATAATCTGTTATTAATTAAGAAACCTTGTTCAAGACCGGCAAGAGTATATCTTTCGAATATTACCCGCTAGCGTAAAAATATCGATCGCACTAGATTACTGGATGTCTCCATTCTCGCAGGTGTTTATAACAATTACAGGCTATTTTATTAATATTAATTAGATCTACCGCGAGATACTACTTGGGTTTAAGCCTCTGTACAGGATATACACTAATGTGAACCTAAGTAGCGTCATTCTTTAAACTCTTATAGAGTATAACCTTAAATCGCGAGTGTTTAGATTAACAACAGATAATATATCTAATAATAAAATCTTAGTAGATTCTCTTTAATAAACTCTATTAAATAGTATTATTATTACCCGGATTCCATACCTTACTCATATTATTTAGCTTAGCCTTAACCAGTTTCTTAATTATATTAAGGCAGTCTTATTAAATAATTCTACTATAATAAAATAGACAGAAAAACAATTAAAACTAGCCTAAGTAAACACGCAGCACCAAGGGCAAGAGATATTTTATATCTTAAATAAGGTCTGCTATCTCACAATCTATATAAATACAAGTCCTCAGCGCCAGGAGACATTTTATAATCTCTAAATATTAAATATAAAGCTAGTGCCTATCCAAAATATAAAAACTTAATAAAATTTAATATTTCTAATACTTTATCGGGCAAAATATCTATACAATATCTTTACACTATTTTATACAAAGTATAACTACGAAAAAATATTATTTCAGGAAGAGGAGTAGCGCCAGATTAACTATCTTTTTTGTATTATTAAGCCATTCTTTAACTATATAACTCAGCTATTAAAGACTTGAGACATTACAGCACATTATATATTTAAAATTTACAATAAACTTTTCGAGCATCTTGAGCAGTTAATAAAGCAGCTACAATAAAAATATATTTTGTAGAAACAACAAATACTTTATATACTAAAGGCTGATCGGACAAAGCTTAATAAATATTACTCTTAAACTAATTATATCCAAGGGTATATCTACATAATTAATACAATATTAATACCAGTAAATAAGTTTAAATTCTTCCTTACAAAGGATTAGGATCAGAAATAGCGCGATATCTATCGCAAGTCTTTCTAACAGGCTTTTATTTTATATTAAAAGCAGCTTTTAACTCATAACCAGTCTTTAGACAGGTCTTACTCAACAACCCAGCTAAGCTTAAAACTTAATAAAATACTAAATAAGAGTAAGATACAGCCAAATATAGTAACTAATAAAATAATCTAATATCTTGATAGCGGTGCATTTAAACTAAGTCTTTGCTAAAATATACTAACTAATTAATAAATACTATTCCTATTACGCCTCTTGCATTCTGGAGAGAGTACCAAACTTGCTTTCCAGTAATTACTACCCTTGCGCGGGATACACTCTCCTTTCCTACAACTAGCGCAGGAGTTAAATAGCTCTTTAATACTATTCAGGATATCTGTTATTATTATCAAAAAAGAATAAAATCGCAAATAATTAAAGAGTTAATACTGTTTTTTTACATGTTAAGATTTAATATAGAAGAGTAGGAAGCAAAGCTTCTTAAAAAATTCTTCTCTTATAAGAAAATAAAATCTATGAAGGAGGAGAAGAATAAACATCCTAATAAAATTAAAATAAATCTAATTAGTAATACTAAGGAGCAGGATACTATAATTAATAACAAGATAAGGCTAGATAAGATAAACAAGATATGCGAGATAGGTGAAGCCCAAATACCGCTGTCTAAAAACAATACCCAGGTACAGGTGTCAGGACAGAAGCGTAAGAGCCGCGATAATAATATCTTTAAGTATCATTAGTTAGATATTAGCCGCAGATAAAAGTATATTATACTTTACTTTTTAATTCTTTAATATATCTTAGTCTTTCAGTCTTTCTTGTTCTTGCTTCCTCCCGATTTAGTTATAAAAAAAATACTTAATATTATAGGCGAAAAATGTATAATTTATGTAGTCACGGGCCTTGGCATATATATTATGTTTATAACCCAAGTTGGGGCCCCGGACCCAGGCTGGGTTACCCAACTTTAACCCGGACCCAACGCTGGGTCGGAGTCTTCGACCCAAAACCCAACCCAGCCCGGGTTGGGTCCGGGTTGGGTCCGGGTTATGTTGGGTTGTGCGGAAGTCTAATCTATAATATGGATGAGAAGGGCTTCTTAATTAGAGTATTTAATAAAGCGAAGAGAATCTTCTTTAAACTATTATATAAGAAGAATAGAATGAAATAACGGCTTTAGGATAGAAATTAAGAATGGATTATAATGCTTGCCTATATTTGTGTAGATGGGATCTTGTTATCTCTAGGTCTTATATATTAAGCTGCCTCTTTTAAGCTTTAAGATTCCTGGCTGTAGGACTTTGATTTTTTTTTATTTTTATTTTTTTATATTCTCGCCTTCAGGGTGGACAAATGACGAACTAGGATATATATAGTTACGAGATGTATTTGATTGAGAGACAAAAACGAAAGCGAGATAGTGTTAAAGGCTTTTTATTTTTAATAATTACGGGTCTTATATTAATATAAAGTTTTTTAAATACTATAAGGCAAATAAGATCCTTCTTATAATATATCCGCTTTATTTTATATATTCGCTTCAGTCACTTAATATTAGAATCTTCGGGCCTCTTTCTACAGCGTATAGCGAGAGATTAGAATGATTTTTTTATGAATTTTAAGGCCTTTATTATATTATAAAAAAAGACTTTTTTTGCCTCTTTTGGCTGTTATGGGAGAGCGCTTTATTAACTGAAAATATCGCTTTTTTGTGGAAATCAGTAGGTATTTGGCTATTAAACCCTGATATTATCCTATCGTGATTTAATTGGAATAATAATAATTAACTATTATCTAGTAAGTTATTTCGCTCAGTGCTTGGTGCAGAGGATTAGAGAAAGATTAAGTGGCTTTTTAAGTATGTAGTTATTGACTTGTACAATTAAAAGACTAAAAAATTAAGTTTTATGATATATTATCTTTTTATAAAGAATGTTATCTTAAAACTATGCTACCAGGGCCTTGAAGAGGCCCTTCTTTAAGAGAAAAAGAAGTATTAGCGAGGTAAATCTCTTTTATTTAAATTATAGGCCCCTGAGGATAGTTATGTGGTATTTTATTCTTTTAAGAAGATTTAGTAAGCTTGTGATTTTTAAGCAGATAAAGATAAGGCTATATAGCTTGTTAAGGCTTTAAAAGAAGAGGAAAAGCTTTGTAAGCAGCGAGAGAAAGAAGATTAAAGGCTTTTAATTAAAAAATATAAGCGAATCCGCGCTTTAAATTAAGAGATGAGGCTCCTTAAGGCAGAGGTAAGGAAATAAAAAAAATAGGATGATTAGCTTGTTAAGTAAGCTAATATATAGCTTTAAAATAACTTTAATATTATTTAAACAGATAAGAATAAGGCCCCTGCAACTCTAAAGGTAAAAAAATCGAGTGATAGAGCTACTGCAGGATCTGAGGTTGTTAATAAGATCTTTCTAATATTTAATTACCGCGGTAGGCAGATCCGCCTCCCTGAGTGCTTTTGGTAATAAAAATGTTATATATAACTTTATTATACTGTGTTTATTCAATCTTCTAAAAATCTCTATATAATACTGAATGTGTGTGGTTGTAGAGCTTCATTTCTTGTTATGGGACTGCCCCCAGATATAAAAGCTCTGCCTAAGGCACCTCTTAGTATCTAAGGCCTCGCGGCCACTAGCACTAGCATACCACATAATGAAAAGATTCGTACAGACATAAGAAATAGCTCTCTAGCTATTTCTTTTTATTTAAAATATATTTAGAATAGAAGCTTCTTCTTGTCCTATAATATTAGGAATAGCTTACTATAATAAAAGTCCTAGACAGAGCTTGACTAGGCATACAAACAAAATAAAAAGGAATTAAAAGAAAATACTAGGAAATAATAATAAAATAAATAGAATTAAAAGGAGTATAACTAATTATAATATTTATATTAATAAATAATAATACCTAACTCCTATTACAAGAGTTAATAAACCTTTATACAGAGATAACAAGATAAAAATTAAACTTTAAAAAATAATTAAATAAGCTATAAAGTAGTAATATAACCCCCGCCTTAAATAATAAAAAGACTAAAAGCCTACTATTATAATTATATAAGCTATACTACAGACCTCGCGCCAGGTATCCTAATATAAAATTATTTAATAAAGAAAATAAATATAACTATAAACTGTTTAAACTAAATATATGTACAAAGTTAGTTATTAATAATAATTACTACCTGTCAGGACTAGAACAGATCTTTTATATTTATAATAAATTATATAAATAAGTGATACAACAGATACTCCCCTAGGTAGAAGCCCAGAATCCTGAAGCAGTTATATTAAATAAAATAATTATAATAATAAATAAAATATTTAAGGACCCTAACATACAATAAAAAGCTTTAAATTAAATAAATACAATAAAATAAAAGAAAATAAAATTAAAAAAATTCTAAAGTAACTTTAATAAGGCCTTATTATAAGTAGAAGGCCATAATTAATCAGATAAATAAAAAAAATTATACTAAATATTATTATTAATTAGAAACTTATTAAAAGGCTAATCAGAATCCCCTAAAAGCCTATATACAAAAGTTACTATAATTAACTATACTAAGTAAATTATAATCTAGCCAGAATATCTTTTTTAACTAGGAGATATAAAGCTTAAACTACCCTAATCTAATAAAAATCTAGCCTAGAACTAATAGACTAGATACCCACTTAAGTTATAGCAGCCTAATAAGAATAATATCTCCTATATATAAAGATTAACAGTGCTCAAAGAGAAGCATAATAAATATTATTTATTAAATTATAAAGAAAATAAGAAACTAACAGCTACCTTTATTATAAATAAAATAAATATTTTATCCGGAATTATTCCCTTAAGCCTACTGTATAACTAATAAGAGTAATAACTGCAGTTATTACTTATTAAAAACAAGAAAAACAAGTTATCTTCTTAAATAAAAGCTTAGACTCGGGAAAAGAACAAGCCTAGTATAAAATTATGTATATAGATAAAAAATATTTATTAAAATAAGAGAAGAATAAAACTATTTTAAATAAAAATATATAATCTTACCATCTTTTATAATAAAAGTAATCTTTAATTTAATTATAATTACTTGTACACTGGTTAACTCAGGATATCTTACTTATAGTATTATTAGCGAAACCTTTGTACGAAGAAATAGGCTAGCTATTATTAATATTTATTTAAAATTAATAAAAAATATTTTAAATAATAAATTTACAATTCACTCTATTATATAAATAAGGATAGATATTAGGTAATATTATAAAAAAAAAGCCTATTTTTATATAATACCTAATAACTTAAGTTATAATCTAATCCTAGGTAGGAGTTAGCTAACCTATTATAATAAAATTTTTAAACCTAAATAGGGACAGCTATTTCTCTATATAACTAGAATAAAATTAAAAGATCTATTATATTTATAATATATAAAACTAGATATTTAACCAGTATCTAGTTCTGAAGTTAAAAAGTACATATATTAGAGAATTAAAAAAAAATAAAAATATTTATAGTTTCACTAGCTAATATTTAAAAGGCTTTATACCTTAAAAAAACTATTAATCCACATATATTACTCCCTAACTATTATAAGGACTTTTTACTATTGTTTTAATTAAAAAACACAAAGAAACTACTATTATATAAAAAAAAAGAGATTAACTATAAAATTAAACTTATATAACAAAATAAAAGAAAGCCAGAAGTTCCCTAGGAACCTTTATATAATATATCTTAAAAAGAACTAATAGTTTTTCATTCAGAACTTACTAAACTACTAAAAAAAAACTTTATTTAAGTAAACCACTTATTTATAACAACCCTAGTACTATTCATACAAAAGCCAGAGGAAGAACTTTAGTTCTGTATAAATTATTAAGCCCTTAATATAATTACTAAAAAAGACTAGTACCCCCTATCTTTAATTCATAAGATATTAAACTAGATTAAAAAAATAAAATAATTTATTAAGTTAAATATTTTATTTATTTTCCACAAAATCCGCATCGCAGAAGGACAAGAATGAATAATTATATTTTATATATAATATAAACTATATAAATAGCTAGTAATATCTTTTAAATTAGTAAACACCTCTAGCATCTTTTAAAGATATATTAACTAGGCGCTCCGTGAATATCTTAATAAATTTTATTTAGCCTATATTAATAATATACTTATATACATAAATAATAATCTTAAAAAGCATTATAAACATATATAAAAAATATTATAAAAACTTAAGAATATAAGACTCTTCCTAAATATTCAGAAATACAAGTTTAAATAAAAAGAAACTCTTTACTTAGGATTTATTATACAAGCAGGAAAAAAGATCAAAATAAATTTTAAAAAAATTAAAATAATTATTTTATAAAAGAGCCCTAAATTAATTAAAAAAATCTAAAATTTTCTGGGATTTATAAATTTTTATTAATAATTTATTCTAAAATTCTTAGATATTATACGGCCCCTCACAAATCTAACTAAAAAAAACTACCTCTTTTTTTAGACTCTGGAGTGTAAAATAAACTTCTAGATCTTAAAAAAGAAATTTATAATAGAACTAGTACTCTAGCCTTTTAACCTAAAATATATAATAATTATAAAAATAGATTTCTCAGGCTATAATATAGGGGGCATATTATTATAAATAAATAAAAATAAAAAACTACACCCCTACGTATATTTCTTTAAATAAAACACTTTAATAAAATATAATTATAAAATC